TGCCTCCCAAGTGCTGGGATTAAAGGCGTTCGCCACCACCACCCAGCTTTTTTTTTTTTTTTTAAGTTTTCAAGACGAGGTTTCTCTATGTAGCTCTGGCTGTCCTGGAACTTGCTCTGTAGCCCAGCCTGGCCTTGAACTCAGGGGTCTGCCTGCCTCTCCTTCCTGAGTGATGTGATTAAAGGAGTGTGTTCACACCTCCTGGCTTAGCCCCAAAGATGTCAACCAGCAGAAGAAAACTTAGAGTGAGCTGGGGAGACTGCTAAATCTGTAAAAGCCTGTTGCTCAGACATAAAGATCTGTGTTCCAGTCTGCACAGGAAGCCTGAAGTGGTGTCCAGGGCTTGTAATCCCAGGGCTGGAAGGGAGGGATAGGCAAATCTCCGGGAATCACTGGACAGCAGGCTAGCCAATTCAGTGAGTCCCAGGTCCCAGTAAGAGACCCTGTCTCAGACAACCAACAAACAAACCAACAATCTGGGTATGGAGGTGCACACCTTCAACCCCAGCACTCTGGGGGCAGAAGCAGGTGGATCTCTGGGTTAGAGATCTCTGAGCCCGGTCCACAGGGAGAGTTCCAGGACAACCAGGGCTACACAGAGAGACTTTCTCACAACAACAAAACTGAAACAATTTTTGTTGATGCCTAAGGTTAACTTGCACATACACAGCCCAGGGTTTCAGGGCTGTTTGTGGAAGGGTCAGAAGTGGCAAAATGCCCATGGAAGACGAGGCCAGCCAGCCAAGGTGGCTCACACGTGTGACTCCCTACGCCCTGAAGGCTGAGGCACAGGATTACCAAGAGTTTTCAAGGCCAGCCTGGGATAGAGTAAGACATTGTCTCAAAATGACCAAGAGTGGGGTGTGGTGGTGTGCTCCCCTAGTCCAGGCACTGGGGAGCCAGAGGCAGGAGCCATTTCTGTGAGTTTGAGGCCAGTCTGGTCTCTATAGGGAGTTACAGGACAGCCAGGGCTACTGAGATCCTGTTGCAAAAAATCAAAACAAACAAATAAAAAGAAAAATAAAAGGAGAAAGACAGTGTTGGGGTGAGAGTTGATTAGTCCAGTGTTGGCCTCCCCTGGGCTTCCACAGTGCAGAAACAGCTGGCACATGCCTTTCACTGGGGAGGTGGGGCAGGATGACAGGGTCTCATGTAGCCCAGGCTGGCCTTAAATCCCTAGCAGAGGCTGACCTTGAACTTCTGAGCCTCATGCCTCCACCTCACTCTTCTTCTAAGATTTATTTTTATTTTGGGGAGGGGGCTCCAGAGGCCAGAAGGAGGTGTCTGAGCCCCTGGAACCTAAGTCACAGGTGGTCCCTGAGCTGTCATGTGGGTGCTGGGTTTCAAACCCAAGTCCTCTGCAAAAGCAGCCAGTGCTCTTAACCTCTGAGCGGTCTTTCCAGCCCCCCCCCTTTTTTTTCTTCTTCTTTTTTCACTTCCATCTGGCTCTGTAGCCCAGGCCTCCCTAGAAGTCTTGCCTTGACCACTCTGGCCTCCGAGGGCTGGTATCCCAGGCCCACCCACCACTCCCAATTTTGTTTTTCCCAGGCCTTTCTCTGTCTATAAAACCAAGTTAATCCACTGATACCTTTGAAACCTGTTTTATAGAGCCAGGGCCACCCAGTCCAGAAGGCGGGTGAGGCAGGGGATGTTCCCTGGGGCAGAGAACAAGGCTGAGCCAGCCCAGCGATCTGGGACAAAGGGCAGGGTGGGAAATCAGCCACCGAAGGCACTGAAGCTTCATCGCTGACATTCCACCCTCTACCCTGACTTCTGGCTGGCCTTTCTCAGACTTCCTGTTCTTGCAAAGCTGTTTTTGTGAAAGAAACAAGGAGAACAGCTAAGCAGAGCAGGCTCCCCGAGCAGTGGCTTCCAGAGGGTGTATACAGCATGCCTGTCACCCCAGCACCCAGGAGGTGGCAGAGGGGGGACCAGGATTTTAAGGTCATCCTCAGCTACCGTAGACATGGAGTTTGAGGCCAGCCTGGGCTGACGGGACTCTATCTCAAGGGGAAAAAAGAATATTCTGGGTGGAGGCTGTAGGGATAAGTCACCCCCGCTTTTGGGCCAGGGTGTCACATAGCTTGGATTGACTTTGAAATTGAGGCAATCCTCCTGCCTCAGCCTCCCCACTGCAGAGATGTCAGGTAAGGGCTGAGTGCCATGTTTTCCAGGCACCTTGATGTGAATTTATCTAACACACCGTGGTGATGGTTTCTTTCCTGCTGATCTATTTTCTGTTGATTTAATTTAGAGCCCAAAGAACCCAGGTAGTTAGACGAAGGAGGATCCTACACCTGCCACCATGTGAAAGGACACAAAGGCCACACAGTGTGAGATCACGTGACAGGAAATGTCCAGGAGAACCCACAGAGGGAAGAAGAGTCTGGGGAGGCGTTGGAATGACCCCTCATGGGGAAGGGGCTTCGTTCTGGGTTGAAAACCCAGTGATGGGATGTTCTGAACTGATGCTGACACCCACTAGAACGATACTTTAGCTGCTTGTGTTGAGGTGTCAGTAAAACAGAAGTCGGGGTGCTCCTTGTGGAGCCTTCCCATCGCCCCACCTCATGTGACAGCCACAGAGGGCAGTTGGCGCCCCCTGCTGGCCAAGCTGTTGCTATTTGCTCTTGCCTTGGCTCCAAGCAGGCGAGTGCCACCTCCCTGGCCCTCCTGCGTCCTAGAACTCTCCTGACAGCCACTGAGAAGGACTGCCTTCGCATTATAGGGGAAAAATGGAAGCTCCCAGAGGCCACAGGCAGACAGCGGTGGGTTCAACAGATGCATCATGATTTACTGGTCCCTTATTTATTTAGAGGTACAGCAAGGTCCCCCGTCCCCCCACCCCCACCCCGGGCCAGTGAGTATCCAGCTCATCTGGAACATCAGGCCAGAGGCTGATGTGGCCACCCACGGATGATCTTCCTGATCCAAGGGCTGTAGGGGGCCACGGCGATGGCCACAGGGGGCTTGAAGATGCCTGTGCAGTGTTTGGAGCTGAAAGACAGGATGCCATCCACCTGGCCTTTGCCACACACCAGAGGCCCTCCAGAGTCACCCTGCCGGAGGTGAGGGACACAGGTCAGCTTCTGCATCTGCATCAGGGGACCAGGGACCTGGGGGGCTCTGGGGCTGCTGACAAGCTACATGTGCATCCCTGTCCTGTCTTCCTTCCTCTGTTCTCTCTCTCCTTTCTACCCCAGGGCCTTTGCTCTGGGCCCAGATGACGACTCTGTGATGCTGGATTTCAAACCACAACTCTCTGCCTTCCTGACTTCCAACCTAGACAGCCTGCTTACTCTCCGGGGGCCTGGGTTTCTGCATCTGAGAAATGAGATGAATCTTAGTTTCCCCCTCTCCCAATAGGTGTCAGAAGCCAGCTTGGGTTGCGGCCCAGGCCTGGCCTCCAGGCCATCCCTTTCACCTTGCAGGGTGCCTGGCTCTTGGACTCCGCCGCCTGCAAGCACAGCATGTCGTCCTCGAGGGCACCGTTCCAGAAGCGGCTGTTGTTACACATGCGGGTGTTCATCACACGCAGATCCAACTCCCGCAGGGCCGGAGCCAGGTGCCTGCCTCGGTGGGTTACTCCCCAGCCAGCGATGCTGCACCAAGCGCCTTCTGCGGGCCTGGCTTGGCTCTTCCTTGGCAAGGCCAGCGGTCGGACATTCCTGCTGGGCTGCACCCGCCCATCCAGCTGCGGAGACAGGAGGGCCCAGTGAGCGGGTGAGGGGAGCGGGGCCAGGGCGGCCCTCTGCCCCTCAGTCCTGCACCTTCAGCAGCGCCAGGTCCTTCCCATAGTTGCGATTGTAGCCAGGGTGCTTGATGGCTCTTGCGATGTAGAAGGTGAGGCCTGGATCTTGGAAGTCGTGGAGGTGGTGCAGGCCCAGCACCAGCTTCAGCTGCTCCAGGCTGCAATGCAGAACCCGCTCGCCACAGCTGCCCACAGCCGCCCACAGCCAGGGAACTGCCGATCCTCCCTTCCCGCACCCACAGATCCTCCCAGCCCACTGCTGACAGATCATCTTCCATCTTCACAAACCTCCTCCCCCAGGTGCCTTCCTGCTCTGGCTCCTGCTCAGCGCCAGATTCGGGGATTCTTGAAGAGCTCAACACCCCCATCCCCCAACTACAGCCTTTCTTCTGTGGTTTGCTCTGGGGTGGGCTTGTGTTGACTTCCTGCATCTGTCCAAACTACAGAGAAATAACTTCTTTCCATAGGACTCGGGTCCACATTGCAGCCATGGGAGAGGTCCTCAAGTCAACACCTGGATCAAGCCATACCTGAAGCCTAGACTTCTGGAATACATGAGCTAACTTTGGGTTGTTTTTTTTTTTTTTTAATTTTGTTTGTTTTTAAGATAAGATCTTACTATCTGACCCTGGCTGGCCTAGAACTATCTCGATCATGTAGCGATCCACTGCTTCTGCCTCCTTGAGGATTAAAGGCTTGCACCAGCACACTCGAGAGCTGCTTCCTTTTGTTCAGGGCTCAGGATTTTTTCTTCAGGGTTGAGGATGAGAGAAGGCATTAGGCAGGCACTCTACCATTAACGATGTCCCTCCCAGGATGGATCTATTTAGTGGTGTCTTGAGGACAGTTCTTGCTACGCAGGCTCTGTCTCACTGGCAGGCTGGTTTTCACAGGTTGCTGGGTGTCAGATGGAGGCATTCTTTCCTGTACCATGTGACCCACTGGACCAGAACCAACAGCCTAGATAGCCCTGAGAGGGTTGGCCTGAACTGGTAGGCCTGAGTCCTTCAGTGCCTTAAGCCAGGGAGTCTTTCTGGGGGTGTAGGTGGGGGGAGTGGGATACTCACGGCTCAGACAGGCAGTGGGCAGCCGTCAACACCCACTTCGGATGCACCAGGACTCCCCCACACACATGAGACCCAGCTTTCTGTAGAGAGGCCATGTATGGGCGAGAGTGTGGGGCAGCCTCTCGACCCCCAATGATGTGGGTCTCAAATGTGTTGCCTGCTGAAAAGTGAGACAGAGAAGCAGGTTAGGGGGGCTGCACCCAACCTTCCTCAAAGCCTGGAAGCCCTGAATCGGGCAGATCTGCTGTCTGAAATCCCTACTGAGCTGTCCCAGATCCCACTAGGCCCAACTGATCAGATGCTCTCAGCTGTCAGAGGCCAGGCCTAAAATGTGAGTGAAGGGCTGGAGACGGCTCAGAGGGCAAGGGAACCTCCAGCTGATCTCACACGGTACCTGAGTTCAGTTTCCAGCACGCACTGCAGGTGACTCACAGCTCCAGGGGAGCTGACACTCCCTTCTGAAGCCTCTGAGGGCACTACACTCACCACCATCCCAAACTTCAAAAAGGTAATTACAAAATAAAACGTGAAATGAGAGGAAGTCTCCCCTGTGGCAGCCACAGGGGAGGGTGTGCATGTATGAGTGACTGGCTCTGCTCACACACTAGCCAGGAGTAGGTTCTGACGCCGTAACAATGGAAGGGCCTAGAGGAAACGGTGCTGGGGGGAAATCAGACACAAAAGGCCACACAGTGTGAAACTCCACAACAGGAAGTGGATTTGTGGGTACCAGGGTGTGGGGTGAGTGTTCTTGGGGCTGTGGGGGTGCCTACACTCCTTTTTTCTTTTCTTTTCTTTTTTTTGGCTTTTCGAGACAGGCTGTAGCCCAGGCTGGCCTCGAACTCACAGAGATCCTCCTGCGTCTGCCTCCTGAGTGCTGGGATTAAAGGCGTTCGCCACCACCGTCTGGCTTGTGCCTATATTTCTGTGTGGCTTCTGAACTTCAGTGAGCTGAGCAGTGTGTGAATTGTTTCTCTAAACTTCATTGCCATATTGATGAGTAGAGCGCTTGTCCACTGCACACAAAGCCCTGGGTTCCAGTCCCGTGTCCCCCCCCCCCACACACACACCACAGAAACAACGTCTAGTGGTGCATGCCTGTCATCCCAGCCCTGGGAAGGTGGAATCAGGATCAGGATTAAAATTTTAAAATAGGCCAGCCTGGTCCACAGAGTGAGTTCCAGGACAGCCAGGGCTATAGAGAAACCCTGTCGTTAAAAAACAAAACAAAACAAACAAACAAACAAAAAACACCCAAAATTTAAAATAAATGAATTTAATGTGAACCAACTCAAAATATCTCGATTTTCCATCATTTCTTAAAGATCCTGCCTCACTCTGGGCCACATGGCCAGTCTACACCTACCCCAGGCAGCCTTTGAGGCCATTCTGCAGAGACCCACAAGGTTTCCTAGTGAGAACTTACCCAGGGTCCGAGAATATGAGCTTCTTTATCCAGCAGTACTGCTTAAGGGGATGATTTGACCAGGGCGGGCGTGGTTACCATGTGTTTGGAAGGGTCTACCCTTGGCTGTGCCGTGTGCTTTGATCTAGCAAGGGGGAGGTCTTGGCCCCGCCCCTTGGCATTGTTATAAAAGCCCCTTTGAAGAGCCAGAAGGGATGTTGGGTTTTGATCCAGGTCCTCCCAAAGCTATCCTGTGTTTCTGACTCTCTCCTCTTCGCTATCTTTCTATCCAGAAGTTTCTTGTTCCTCTCTCCTCATACAAACCCTTTTAAAAGGTGGGGGCTGGGGCTGGAGAGATGGCTCAGAGGTTAAGAGCACTGGCTGCTCTTCCAGAAGTCCTGAGTTCAATTCCCAGCACCCACATGGTAGCTCACAACCATCTGTAATGAGATCTGGCACCCTCTTCTGTGTACATAATAAATAAATAAATCTTTAAAAAAAAAAAAAGGTGGGGGCTGGCCTCCCACACATGGCGCCAGAACTAGGCCCAAGTTAGGGGCTTGGGTGCAGAGGAAGTGAGTGGGGGAGGGCACACCGCGGAAGCAGTTGGACATGTCTGGTCTTGTATTAAGGTTAAGGCGGTGGCATTTTATTCTTCTGGAGCAAAAACTGTATATAGATGAAGCAAGTAATAAAAGTTAGGCTGCAGCAAGTATATCTCTCTCTGTCTAGGTTTCTCTCTCTCTCTCAATTTCTATCTATAAAATTAGGTAAACATATAGGGTTAAGTATATGGATATTGTGCAGGTTTAATAGGAAGGAACTTAGGGTAAGAGAATTTCCCTAGTGCTGGACCTGGTGCACAGGAAACAGCATCCGGGAATGAGCAGCCCCTGCGGCCTTAGCAGTCTGAGAGAAGCCGCTACGGGCTGGTGTTTGTATACTCACTTGTACAGGGGCTCTTGGAGTTTGTAGATGAGCTGTGTCCTTGCTTTTCCGACTGTGGGACTCTGGACGCAGATTCATGGGGGAGAATTAGAGTCAATCCAACAATATCATGAGGAATGTGGGCCGAAGATTCCAGTGGAAGCTTTTGGCCTGTGGGCACTAATTTGGGAATACTGAATACTGAGCGGCTGCGGGGGGGGGGGGGGGGGGTCCTTCAAAAAACAAAGCCCTCCACTCTGCTCTGCCGGAGTTTAAGGAACAAAAGCCTTGGGATAAGACAAGGGAGGAACTGAAGGGCTTGAGAGACTTAGTAATTTCTCTTTCTTAAAAACTGGAGAGATGGCTCAGGGGTTAAGAGCACTGCTTGCTCTTCCAAAGGTCCGGAGTTCAATTCCCAACAACCACATGGTGGCTCCCAACCATCTGTAATGAGATCTGGTGCCCTATGTGCAGACAGAACACTGTATACAAAACCTGGAGGCTCTTCAGGTCTCTCCTTCTCAGGGGCATCTTCCTTCTACTTCCTTCTATAGGGGCAGAATTAAGACTCACCTGGGGGGTTCTCTATCAGAGTGACAGTCGCCCATAATTGCCCTGATGCAAAAACCTCCCGGAGCATGGCAAACCCTCACTGCTAGGATTAGAGGTGTGCACCACCACCCTCCTAATTTTTTTTTGTTTTGTTTTGTTTTTTGAGACAGGGTTTCTCTGTGTAGCTTTGACGACTTTCCTGGAACTCACTCTGTAGCCCAGGCTGGCCTCGAACTCACAGAGATCCACCTGCCTCTGCCTCCAAGTGCTGGGTTTAAACGTGTACGCCACCACTGCCCAGCCTCACCCTCTAAGTTTCGAACACTCACAATTGGTTAGAACCTTCTCAAAAGATCAAGGAGGAGAGAGGAAATTGGCATTTTGCAACTGTAACAACTCGAACCTAAGTTGTGGACTGCCCACTCTCAGACAACACAGTAACTTTTGTCTTGAGAGTTGGTGGAGACACAATGTAGCCAAGGCTGAGGTTAAACTCCTTGAGATCTTGCCTTGGTCTCCCAATGTGATTTTAAAGTATGGAGAGGGGCTGGGGCTGCGCCTCAGTGGGCTGGGCCTGCATCAGTGGGCCGAGCACTCTCTCTCACCTAGCATGTTCCACCAGATATAGTAGGTGGCACATAGCCGGCCTTGCAGTCTTGGGGAGGTGGAAGCAGGAGGATTGGGATTTCGGGGCCATCCTCAGCTACATGGGTCCAGGCCAGCCTGGGCTACATGAAACACTGTCTGAAAATAAAGGTTATTTTTTACAGGGGAAGAAAAGCACTGCACGGGTGAGAAACTTCCGTGGGTGGTGGAAAGCTACTCAGTATGGGTGCTGGCTGCTGCACAGCTCTACAGATACAGGTTGGCCTGGGAGTGTGGGAGCTGACTCCCGTGAAGCCACAGAGCTTTCTCTTTCATTTACACTTGGTTTAGGTTTCTTCATTTTTTTTTTAAGCTTCAAGGATTGAGCTGAGTGGTAGTGTGCACACCCAGGTGGATCTCTTGAGTTCCAGGCCAGCCTGGTCTACAGAGTGAGTTCCAGGGCTACACAGACACAGACTTTGTGTCAAAGTAAAGCACTTGGGAGGCAGAGGCAAACAGACCTCTGTGAGTTCCAGGTCAGCCAGGACTACAATCTTGAACCTTGTCTCAAAAATAAATGTGTGTGTGTACACGTGTATGGCGGCCAGACATCAAGTCTTGTGTCTTCCACATCACTCTATACCTTAACTGTTTGAGACAAGGTCTCAAGCTTGGAGTGCAATGATTCAGCTTGAGCCCCAGGGATCCTGTCTCCTGCCCTAGTGCTGGGCTCAAGGCATACCTATTGTTTTGTTTTTTCCCCTGGAGATGGACAGCCCTGGCTGTCCTGAACTCCATCTACAGACCAGGCAGGCTGTCCTCAAACTCAGAGATCCACCTGCCTCTGCCTCCCGAGTGCTGGGATTGAAGGCATGCACCACCACTGCCCAGCTTTCAAGGTCTCATCATGTAGCCCTGATTGGCCTGAACTCAAGGGATTCACTTGCCTCCGAGTTCTGGGATTAAAGGCATGTACCACCATGCTGTGTACCCCTTCCCTTCTTTTCCAAAGCAGGGCATGAGACCCAGCTGGCCTCTACCCAGCAGAGCGGAGGTTGGCTTTAAATGTCTGGTCCTCTGGTCTCCACCTCCTGCGCTGGGATGACAGGCATGCTCCACCATGCCTGGGTTATGCAGGATGGAACCCAGGCTTGGCATATGCCAGGCACATGGCCCACCAACTTAGATATATCCTGAACCCACTTTAGGTTTTTGAGATAAAGTCTCACTCTAACTGAACCATGGCGATCCTCCTGCCTCACTCAACTTCTGAGCTCAGGGTTTAGGTTTACTCAGTGTATGCTCTTGCACAGACACCAATCCTCAGAGATCTGGATTATCTAATTTCCCAGTACACAAACCCACCTCTCCCATCCAGAGCCCCGAAAACCGGGCTCTAGGCCTGTTTCCCCTTCATGCTCACCTGCCCACAGTGTCTCCAGGGCCAGCAAGAGCAGCAGGGACTGGTGGACCGCCATGCTGGTTCAGGACTTGTGGACCCGGGGTGAAGGGGGGGGTGGCTCCCCACTCTCTTCCTGTGAGGACAGGTGGCCTTCTGAGACCCGCCCACCCAGCGCAAGTGCCAGCTCCTCCTTCACACCCTGCTCTGGGTGGTTTTAGAAAGTGTCTTTGAAGTCAGACAAAGCCACGTCTCTGGGGCTGCAGTGGAGTCCAGTGATCAGTCCCCAGTGACCGTTTTCCTGGTGTTTTTAGGAATTTTTGCTTCCTTGAGCACTGGGGCGAACCCACGGCCTGGCTGACAACCCAACCCCAACAGAAGACAACTTGCAGGGGTGCGTCCTCTCCTCCCACCATGGGCCCTGGACTGGCACTGTGCCCAGTGGTGCCAAGCCTTCACCCAGAGCCCTGTTGCTGGCCTGAACTCTATGAGACCAGGTTACCAGGCTGGCTTCAAATTGTATGCAGCACAGGATGGCCTGAGGTGCTTTTTTTTTTTTTTTTTTGAGGCAGGTCTACGTAGCTCTGGTTGTCCTGGAACTCACTTTGTATACTAGGCTGGGTTCTGGGTTTGAATTCATCAGGATTATTAGCCTGCCTCTGCCCCAGAGTGCTGGGACTGGAGTCGTGCGCCGCCACCCCTTGCGCCTTGCTTTCTTACCATCTTAACTGCTAACAGCGGCAGGAAGTGCAATGCCATGGCCGGGCACCAGGCCCGTGCCGTCCCCACTCCCAGCCTCCTCCTGTTCTCGGCGATGACTGGCAGAGGTCCCTTGAAGTCCAGTTCAGTAGAGTATGGCTTTGTTCCAGAGACTCAACTCTGGAGTAACTGGCCCACTTCTGGGGAAGTGACAGTGTTTCACTTTTGGTTTCTCTGTGCAACCACCCTGGCTGTCCTGGAACTCAATCTGTAGAACTCAGAGACGCGCCTGCCTCTGCCTCCCGAGTGCTGGGATTGAAGGTGTACACCACCACCGCCCGGCATCTTTTCCCTTCTTTACATGGCACACACACCATCAGTGGTTTAAAGTCCTGGGTTCGACCCCAGCACATCGTAAGCGGCAGGGCAGGTCTGTCATCTCAGCACAGGATTACTTCAGTCTGTTAGAGTAAGACTCACCCCGCCTTTCTCTGGGGAGTCTCGAGGCTGCATCGCAGTGCCCTGGCCACAGGGACTCCTCAGGCAGGCACTGGAGTTTCCAGAGCCGAGGAAGTACCTGGACCCCAAGAACTGCTGGGATACGGGCCTCCACACGCCTCGGCATCCAGGACTTTCCAGAGACACAGACCCCAGGCCCAGGCCTCCTGACTGCAGGCTTGAGGTGGGCACAGGCCGATGGTGCAGCCGCACTGCCGGATGCAGGCCAGCATGATCTGCAGGCAGCAAGGAGCTGCTCCTGGGCCTGGGGCCCCTGCTGACCATTGAGCACGATGAACAGACCGTTACCAGTGTTTCCTGCCCATCCTACCGTCCTGGCTGCGTCTCCCAGCTTCTCCGAAAGCCATTTTATTTGGATTTCACACACACCAAAGCCCTGCGGGCGGGCTGGGATGGAGTCTCTGCCTCCCACCAGGCGGTCCCCAGCCTCCCAGACTTGTCACCATCTGTGAGCCGGGTGGGGTGTCTGCCAGGCACCACGGGGTAAGAGGACCTAAGGGTCGCAGGACGGGAGCCCACAGGGAACCTCAGTGAGGTAGTCTGTCGCCCGAGGCCCACACGGTCCTGCTGAGGTAAAATCTGTAAGTTTATTTCGGGGCGCGGTCAGGACTCCTCGGTGCCAGAGTCGTCCTCCTCGTCCCCAAAGCAGCTGTCGGCCTCCTCCACCTCGCCATCCTCATAGTAGTCATCGTAGAAGAGGTCCGAGCCCTCGTCGGGCGCCGGCGCCTTGGTCTTCACGCAGTACTCAGCCAGCGTGGTGGGCACCTTCACGCCATCACGCTCCGCGTCCACCTTGGTCCCCAGGACCTGCTTCCTGGGGAGACAGGGGAGGTGAGGCCCCGGCCAGGCACCCCGGATCCCAAAGACAATGAAGAGGGGGGATGGTGGGCGGCCTTAGTGACCAGCTCCAGGCAGGAAAGCAACCCCGGCAGGTGTGGACCAGGCCTGCTGCCGGGCACTTGGAGGCTGAGGAGGAAGCGCTGAGCCTGGGGCTGCCTGGGGCTGCAGTGGGACCGTCTACGGCCAGACAGGCCGGAGAGCACGCAGGAAGAGCGCCTGTTGCGAGGCCCGGGACCTGCGCCCAGTTCTAGCACCCGCACCAGCCGCAGCGCGGCAGCCGCGGCCCGCACGGCCAGTGCGGTGGGGAGCACACAGGAGGAAAGTGACAGGGCGGGGACACCACACTTTGTCCCCTGGGTTCTCTGTGTGTGCACCCCCACACCCCCACACCGACACCCCCAAACAAACTCGCCAACTGCAGCTGAGGGTGGCCTGGGGGAGCCAGGACGCCAGGCTGCCCTGGCCTCACTCTGAAGCCACACAGCGAGAGCTCCCCTGCACAGGGCAGCCACTTAACAAAGCAATCAGGCCTGGGCCAGAGCCTCGAGTGCCCCCAGGGGCCAGGGCCGTCCTCAGGGTGCAGGTCCTGATGGGAAAGGTGAAGGGTAGGGCAGATGCCGGTCTGAGCTTCCTTCCCACAGAGAGAATGGGGTACAAGACCGGGCTGGAGGGGCCACCATGACAGCACATCAGAACAGCCTAGACCAGTCTCAAGGCCCTTCCCACAGATGTCCAGCTGTCCCGTCCCCGTGGCTAGACACCGGCTCTCAGGGGAGTCCCAGGAGCAGCACAGGCCTCCTCATGGTCACAGCAAGTGGCGCCTGGAGTCAGAATGGTAAAAATAGCCCGGGGCTTCTGTTCTGGGACAGGGACACCGCAAGGAAGCAGCCAGGGAACGAGGCCGAAGGCGCCGCCAGGAGGAGCCTGCAGTGACCACAGCAGATCCTCCACTGGTTCTTTCTGCAGTGCTCCGTGCAGGGCAGAGCCCACAGCAGCCCCCCCCCCCCACCATTCTAGCCCCGACTGTCAGGCTGACAGGGAGTGAGTGGTGGAGAGGCTGAGTGTGCCCATGGCAATCTCAAGCTGAAGACTTACAAATGACAGACAGAACAGCCAACTAGAACAGCCATAGCTGAGCCGCAGGGCGGTGCACACACCTTTAATCCCAGCACTCAGGAGGCAGAAGCAGGTGGCTCTCTGAGTTTGAGGCCAGCCTGGGACACATGGTTAGTTCCAGGACGGCCAGGGCAATATAGTGAGATTTTGTCTCAAAAATCTAAGAAGAGAAACCTACAGGGCAGCTTGCCCTCTTCCCAGCTGAGAGACAGGCAGGAGGGTGGTGAGCCGCAGGACAGCCTGAGCAGGACAATGGGGACAGGGCTGCAGGGACTTCCAGCCCGTGCTGATGTGAGCATGGTGACACCTCCACACAGGACCACAGTGGCCACACGGCGGAGGGGAAGCAGAGGCACATCTGGTTCTGATGAACCTTTCAGGTCTTCCTGCAGCCTGTGCCAACTCTGAGAAGTCGGGCCCGCCTTCTGCAGGACAAGGCTCAGGGCTCCTGCTGGGCGGGCACTGGTCCTGTCCAGCTCCAGGCTGACATGTGTGGCTTGCTCAGCATGCCTGCTGATAGGCCTGGGCCGCTGCCAGCGTGGGAACAGTACCAGCCCGTCTGTGTTTGGGTCACTGTGTGGGGACAAGCGCTGTCCTCCTGGGTTGGCGTTGAGGCAGGGGATGGCTGGCTGTGAGGTGTTATGTCACCCTGGCATCAAGAGGGAACTTGAGGAGGAAGATCTGGGGTTACAGGAAAGCCTGTCTCAGACAACAGAGAGAAACTGAGCGACCAAGACTGGGAGCGGGTACCTGTGTGGACGGACACTCAGCGGGGCTGAGGAGCTGCAGGGTCTGACCTCTGCCTAGAACCCTGTAAGTGCAATTCTACACAGCTTTAGGTGTGTAAGGGAACCCCTGGCGAACAGTGATGGTGTGTGTGGACACTGCCCACACGGGCTCCTGAGGACGGCTCACACAAATGCCAGTGGTGCCCGCACAAGAGTTGGGGCTGGAGCGCTCCACCCACTCAGGAAGAAAGACCGCGGGAGGATCGTGGCCATCCCGGGCGGCCACTCAGCGCCTCTGGGGGGCACACAGAGGGATGGAAGACTGGAGACGTTTAGCAGCTGCCCCAGGGAGCAGCTGTGTTATAGGGGACAGAGAAGAGCTGCCCTGCAGGACGTGTGTGTCTGTGCGGTGCTCTGTGGGGGCGCGTACCCTACTCCACCCACAAAGCCCAGATCTCTCGCTCTTACAGCAAGCAGCATCTACTGTACAAAGACCTGGCGGCGGCGGTGGCGGCGGCACTGTCCTGCCCGTGCCCGTGCCCGTGCCCGGCACTCACCGGATGATGTCTGTGTACTCGCGGTCCTTCCCCTTGCTCTCCTTCCACTTTCTGTACATCACCGAGGCGTCCACATTGGCGGGCGAGAAGGTGTTGGGCTCATTCAGCAGGGAGATCACACTCAGGAGGATGGTCCTGTGGGTCGCGGTTGCAAGCTCAGCTCCCCACAGACCCGGGGACCCCGGACTGGTGGAGCCAGGAAGGAGGGACGAGGTGCAGGGTGTCTCGGGGTGCCCACGGTGCGAGGACACGTGCAGTTCTCACCTGACATTCTGTGTGGGGTTCCACCGCTCTGAGGGCAGCTCCCCACTCTGAGGGTCATCGACTGGGGGATGGAGGATGGAGATGCACACGTCCCCTGTCTGCAAGAGTGACGACAGGATTAGACGAGGTGTGAGCCAAGTGTAAGGGAGGCGTGAGGGTGTGTGTGGGCTGTGCCTGAGGCAGGCATCTGTAGTGCTCTAGTGACTGACTTACCTCATAGATGTTTGGGTGCCACATCTTGGTGAGGAACCGGAAGGCTGGTGGGGAATATGGGTAATCGATGGGGAACTTGAGGCGAGCCTGGGGGGCAGAAAGTGGGGGTGGCTCAATGGCAGCCCACTGAGCACTGGTGTACTGAGCTGTGCCCAGAGGGGATGAAGAACCGTCTGTGACAGGCTGCCTCTCGTCTGCTCAAGCACTGAAGCCAACCCAGTCCCTGTGCAGTCCGGGCACTACCTCTGGGACCTGGCCCCCAGGTAAGGAAAGGCTTAGGATGACAGAGCCACTTGCTGTGGACCAGCCAGGGGATGAGTCAGCAGGCTTCATACCTGCACCACCCGGCCCAGGGGCCTAGGTCAAGGGTGGTGCCAGAGACAAGCTGGAGCCACCCGTCTAGCCACAGCAGCTGCTTGTAGCTGAGGCTCACCCTGCCCACTGCCCTGCAGCCTTTAGACCAGTAGGGGAGGAAGGCCCACGGCCGCCTCTAGAATGTCCCCTGGGCAAGGGGAACACTTAAGGGAAGTAGCCTACGGCCTCAGAGCCAGCCAGGGATTCAAACTGAAGGCTCTGCCCCGTGACTCCTTCCCATTGGACATCCACAAACCTAGTGCAGAGTTTCCAACCCTGATCCCCTCAGGACAGCTGAGAAGGAAATGTGGTCTTGCTGGAACAAGACCTATCACTTCTGTAGCTCCAGATGCTCTTTAAAAATGTGCAAATTGCCGCGCGGCGGTGGCGCACGCCTTTAATCCCAGCACTCGGGAGGCAGAGCCAGGTGAATCTCTGTGAGTTCGAGGCCAGCCTGGTCTACAGAGCGAGATCTAAGACAGGCACCAAAACTACTCAGAGAAACCCTGTCTCAAAAACAAACAAACAAAAAAGAGCCAACTGAGGCTCATCATCGGGAAGGCCCCCACCCCTTCCTGGACAGCCACACTCAAAGTAAGACGGGCTGGCCACCCAGAAGAAGCTCTAAAACAGCTCCCTCCCCTCAGAGGGGCTCCATGTCTCAGCCACCCACACCACACAGAAGGCACCCACGCTGGCAGATCTGACTGACATCCTGCCCAAGCTGGTCCCAGAATAATGTGAGCCTAGGAGGCTCTACCCACAATCCTTTACAGGAGGGAACCAGGTCAGGTGTCCATGCTTGTCCTCCTGGCAGTCCCCGCTCCACGAGGTATTAACAGTGCCTGGACACGCCAGTGGCTTCTCAGTTCAGACCACACTCTAGGGTGGGAGGCAAAGGTGTCCACATGACTCCCATTCTCCATATGCTGTACCTGGGAACCCTACTCTAGGGTTACCCTGGTGGAGTGACTGCTGCTTTCCTAGTCACTGACCAGGAAGGGTGGGGACATCCACCACAAAAGAAGACACAGGACAAACATCTGTCATGGACCTGCACCTGGGACCTGGACTGGCTGGGATTTGTGCATCCACCTAGTCCTCACCTTGTTCCTCTTGGCTCTAGAATGTGACTCTGACTGCTAGGAGTCCCAGTCCACAGCAGGCAGGATGGTACAGCTGCACTGATGTGGGTCCCTATACTTGGCAATGTTGGGTCAGCCTAGGCTCTCTGCTCCCAATCACAAAAACATCTGGTACATTGAGCCCGAAGCCACCAGAGGGCAGATGACATTGCCTGGAAGGCAAAAATCAGGCCTCCAAGAAGCCACCTGCTCAGTGGAACCTGAGAAAGGCTGCCTGCCACGGGGCAAACAGAGAGCTCTAGGGGCCAGAGCCCTTGGCAGGAAGCCAGGGTGCAGCTCTGAGGATTCAGGGTGGGCAGCCAGGCCCCTGCCTCCACTGTCCCCTTGGAATGGATTACATAAACCCTGGCTAGGGCTAAAGGTGGCTGTCGTCCAAGTAGGCGAGTCTGCCAAAGCCCTGTCAGGGCCTCTGCTGGAACTGGAGCAGGTGGCTGTCCAGGCTGCACATCCCTTCCCTGGGGACACAGCGGCCAGCAGCTGCCCCTGGTCCTGTGTCCTGGAGTGGGGGACATGCTGAGGACATGCCAGCAAGCAGCTGTCTCTGGGGGTTTGTGTTCCAGAGTGGGGGGACAGCCTGAGGATGCCAGTCAGTAGCTGACCCTGGGCCTTTATGTCCTGGGATGTGGGCAGCCAGGGCAGACCCTTCCCCAGGGGCACGTTCGTGGGATGGGGGACAGCCCGGGAACACGCTTGCCAGCAGGGGGCTCGGAAGGGTCTTGTGGTGGGGGGACTGCCTGGCGACAGGGCCAGCAGCTGTCCCTGGGGAGATCCTGCCCCAGGGACGTGCTTGGTCGGTGCAGGACAACCCGGGAACAAGCTGGCTGGCCGCAGGCTCCGGAGGGCCCTGGGTCTTGCGGTGGGGGGACTGCCTGGGGACACGCCAGTCATTAGCTGTCCCTGGTCCCCCGGGGCTAGGTCAGCACGTGCCCGACGAAAAGGGAAGGGCCGTCTTGCACCCAGGGCCTGAGCCAACCCGAGGGGGGCTTGGTACAAAGGGTAAACTGAGGCCCATCTCACCTTGAAGTAGCCGCCCTCGTAGTAGGTGTTGGGGGGCCCGAAGATGGCCACCTCCCAGTTGTACAGGTCGCCCTCGTCCACCAGCGTCACCCGGAAGCCCTCCACCGGCTCCTCCTGCAGCCCCTTCAGCTCCAGCAGCAGCGCCTTCTGCGAGCTGGGAACCAGCGGCCGGGCCATGGCGG